CGACTCCTAGCTGCAAAGCCGACTAGCTCAGTGACTAGGGAAAACGCTGCAGTAGACTCAAGGTCAAGGTCGGTGACGACAGTAGCGAGGAGACGAATGATAGTAGGACTGGTAGCACGAGCAAGGTCGGACACAAGGTCAGGAACGTGCAGGAGAGAGGACGCGGGAGGCTTAGCCAGGACAACACGCTGTGAAACAGAGGAAGGACGAAGTGCCATACCGTGAGTGCCTGGGACAGCAGGAGGACAAGGACGGGCAACACGGCAAGCACGAACAGGTGTGGAAGCACGAGTCTCAGGCTCACGACGCTCAGTCAGGGACTCAGTCACCTTAGTGTGAGGAGCAGGAGCAGGCAGCGAGGAGCCAGGCAGTAGCATTGGCGGAGACTGGTTTGTCTGTGAACACAGGAGAGGTGGAGTGAGGCCAGTGGAAGACGGGAGACTAAAAACTTGGCGAAGGACCGAGTCAGGCGGCGGCAGGGACGACTGCGGCTGCGGGTAGAAAAACAGTCGGCGCGGGGCAGAACCAGCAGCTCCAGCTCCTCCAGCACCAGCACCTCCAGCACCAGCACCTCCAGCACCAGCACCTCCAGCACCAGCACCTCCAGCATCAGCAGCTCCAGTAGCACCTCCAGCACCTCCAGCACCAGCAGCACCACGAGCTCCGGCAGCGCTAGGACCTCTAGCACCAGTAGTACCTCCAGCACCTCCACTGCCAGAAGCTCCAGTAGCACCTCCAACACCTTCAGCACCAGCAGCACCACCTGCTCCAGCAACTCCAGCACCTCTAGTACGAGCACCTCCAGGACCAGCAGCTCCAGCACCTCTAGTACCTCCAGTACCTCCAGCTCTAGTGCCTCCAGCACCAGCAGTATCTCCAGCACCTCCAGTGCCAGGAGCTCCAGTAGCACCTCCAGCACCTCCAGCACCAGCAGTACCTCCAGTACCTCCACTGCCAGCAGCTCCAATAGCACCTCCAGCACGAACAACACCACCAGCTCCGGCAGCTCCTGCACCTCCAGTACGAGCACCTCCAGGACCAGCAGCTCCAGCACCTCCAATACCTCCAGCTCCAGTGCCTCCAGCACCAATAGCACCTCCAGCACCAGCAGCACCTCCAGCACCTCCAGCACCAGCTGTACCTCCAGGACTAGTAGGTCCAGCACCTCCAGCACCAATAGCACCTCTAGGACAAGTAGCTCCCGCACCTCCAGCACCAGCAGCACCTCTAGTACCTCCAGCACCAGCACCACCTCCAGCACCTCCAACAGTACCTCCAGTACCTCCAGCACCAGCAGTACCTCCAGGACTAGCAGCTCCAGCACCAGCAGGACCGTACCCTCCACCACCAGGACTGCCTCGCCGAACGATCCATGCACGAATCGTCTGCGGCAAGAGCGTCTCAAGTAGGTCAGGCTGCGGTGGCTGTCCAGCTCCAGGACCTCCAGCAGGGTCACCCACAGCTCTACCGACACTAGGACTTGCAGTACCCCTAGAGTCAGCACCCCCAGTCGCAGCACCCCAAGAACCAGCACCCCCAGTCGTAGCACCCCCAGAACCAGCACCCCCAGGCGCAGCACCCCCAGAAACCTCACCCTCTGTCTCAGCACCCCCAGGCTCAGCACCAGTAGTCTCAGCTCCATAGTCCACAGTATCAGGCTGCGGAGGCGGCGAAGACGGCCGAGGCGGAAAACCAGAGGGGGTCTCCAAGCATGGAGAGCGGCGAGTGGCCGCCGTGTCGTCAGCGGCAGGGTCACCCCCCTCAGCTGGGCCAGAGGAGTCAGAAGAGATCTCCAAAGGCTCAACCAAGGGGGTTGGGTCTACCTGAGACACACCTGAGGGAGCAGAACCCTATGGGGGGAGGGGGTCTACCTGGGGGTGACTGGTACCAAGAAAAGAGGCGCTAGGGGGACTAGGTGGGACGCGTGTGGGTGTAGCCAGTAGAAACAGACAGACTCGTCAAAGGTGACGTCCTAGGAGGAGAAGACTCGACGCGAGCGCGGGTGGTAGAACTGCCACGGCGGGGCGTCGGTGGGGAAGCCAAGGAAGACGCAGCGGAGAGTGCGAGAGGAGAGCTTGCTCGCTTTGGCATCGCGAACAAGGGAGAGCGTGCCCCAGACCCGAAACACCGACGCATCGCCAACGTTCCCGTCCACCGGAGTGTGGGCGAGGTCTTTGGCTCAGAGACACGGGGCCAGAGGTTGAGCTGATGCGCAGCGTACTGGACCGCAAACGACCACAGAAAATGGGGAGCAGCCGCATGGATCATGGAGGTACGAGCAACCTCCATGATCAAGCCAATGCGACGCTCAGCAATCCCATTTTGCTGAGGAGAGGCTGGAAGCGTGAACGACTGGACGATGCCCTCGTCTCGACAGAACTCCGCAAGGAGGTCAGAAGAGAACTCACCGCCCCTGTCAGAGTGCAGACGCAGGACTGGGAAGTCTCGACTGAATCGCTCGCGCAGCTGGCGACGAGTAGCACGGATCCAGGGGATCAAAACACCGATGACGTCCGTCTTGCGCCGCAAGGGGAAGACAGTGGTGTATCGTGTGTAGTCGTCAACAACCAGCAGGAAGTAGCGCTCCTGGTCCGTTCCACCGACGGGGGCTGGGCCCTAAACATCCATGTGGAGAGTCTGCAAGCTGACCAGACGCAGACACCCGAATCGACGCAGCCACCTGACCTGCCTCAGTCACCTGTGCAGACGCAGTGGTCAGTGTGTACAGACTAGACCCAGGCCGTCGAGTGAACGTAGCCAGGTGACGGCCAGTCTGGGAGCACGTGCAGATCGCCACACGCTGCCCTCCAGGAATAAAGGTATATACCCAGACATCTTGAATGGTAGCGTTGCTCACCAAGTTCGTCAAGAACGTGGGGAGGTGGAGACCTGACAGAGAACCAGAGGGGGCTGCTGGACACGGGAGGACAGTGGAGGCTCGTGCGACTACTGGGCCCCCAGTGGGGTCAGCCAGTGAGACCGGTACCGGTGCAGCAAGTGGTGTGAGTGTGGTGCAGTCACGAAAGAAGCAACGTGACGTGCCTGAGTCAAGTGTGAAAGTGTGCAAGGCCTCAGCTGAGGAAGGACCTGTGGCGGGAGACGCACGAGCACCTAAAGCTGCAGCAGACTCACTAGCACCTAGTGCGGCAGCAGACTCACTAGCACCTAGTGCAGCAGCAGACTCACTAGCACCTAGTGTAGCACCCTCGACATAACCAGTGACACATCGCTGAGGAAACAACTCACTAAGCACCTGCGGGGAGAAGGCCTCCTGCTGACTCTGCTGCCGCCTCTGGCAGTACGTAGAAAACCAAAGCCTCCACCACCTGGACGGGCTCGCTGAAGAACCGACTCGCGAAGCTGCTGAGGGGTGGGGTCGTCCGGGAGAGGCAGTGACCGCCGCTGTCCACCCCTAGCAGCTGCAACTGCCGTGATAGTGGACATGACAGGCAGTGACGGTCAGTAGTAGGTCCAGCACCTCCGGCACCAACAGCACCTCCAGCACTCCCAGTCGCACCTCCAGCACCCCCAGCACCAGCAGCACTCCCAGCACTCCCAGCAGCACCTCCACTAGCAGCAGCAGTAGCACAAGCAACAGCAGTAGCACAAGCAACAGCAGCAGCAGTAGTAGCAGTAGGGTGGCTCGGTGGGGCTGGTGATCAAGGTAGGGCGGCGCGGCTCGGGTTGGGCAGGGCGGCTTGGGCTGGGCGGCGCTTCTCGGCCGGGCAGGGCGCGCCGCTGGCTCCAGGGCAGGGCGCGCGGTGGACAGGGCAGCAGGGCGCGCGCTGTGCAGGGCAGCAGGGCGCGAAGCGTGGGGCAGCAGAGCGCGACGCGCTTGCTGCAGTAGGGCGCGACGCGCTGGCTGCAGCAGGGCGTGACGCGCGGGGCAGCAGAGCGCGACCCGCTGGCTGCAGTAGGGCGCGACGCGCTGGCTGCAGCAGGGCGCGACGCGCAGGGCAGCAGAGCACGACGCGCTGGCTGCAGTAGGGCGCGACGCGCAGGGCAGCAGGGTGCGACGCGCTGGCTGTAGTAGGGCGCGACGCGCTGGCTGCAGCAGAGCGCGACGCGCTGGCTGCAGTAGGGCGTGACGCGCTGGCTGCAGCAGGGCGCGACGCGTAGGGCAGCAGGGCGCGACGTGCGGGCTGCAGCAGGGCGTGAGGCGCGGGGCAGTAGGGCGCGACGCGCGGGCTGCAGCAGGGCGCGACGTGCAGAACAGTGGGGCAGCAGGGCGCGACGTGCGGGGGGCAGGCAGTGCGAGTAGCTGCAGGGCAGCGCGACACTGTGCGAGCAGGGCCGGACAGCGCAAGGGCGCTTCGGGCAGGAACGAGCGGAACTATCGGTGGGCCCTAAAAACTTAACAGGTTTCCTGTTCTGAATACCATGTCAGAATAGCTGTGCAGGAATGAATGAACTATGAATGAGTTGGGTACAAGTACTAATCCTAAAGTGTTGTACCCCTTGTAGGCTAACCCACTATAGCCTAGAGAGAACACAAACATATAGTTTGACAGACCAAGCTCCCCGGTGCACTGGCCCGAGCTCGCGGCGTGGACCACAGGGCCTCAGATTGGTTTTGGGCTAGTCTGAAAAAATCAGAGTTGGCACAAAATTGTATGCTGAAAATCAGACAAATTAGCCATTTTATGCCATTTTACACTATAAATATCACAGTTTTTCCTGATCTTTTCCAAAAAATGGCTGAAAAATCAGCCCTGGTTCTTAAATTCAGTCTGAAATCTCAGCCTTTTTTACCTAAATCAACATTTTTTCGCTGAAATCTGAGGCCCTGTTGGACCACGCTCCCTAGTGTACTGGCCCGAGCGCGCGCCTGGCCAAAGCGCGAGCTTGGCCCGAGCGCGCGCCCCGCGGCCTGGTACCCAATGGGTAGATGGTTATTATAGTGCTGGTAATATGAATTTAAATAACATGGATGGGGTTTTTATATGCTTAAAAACTAGCAAAGAAATCGAGTACCGTCGAGAAACTATTCCAACCTCGTAATGGAGATACTCTCAGAGCTGTGAGCGGTACCGTATCGCCCCGGATATAAGCGCAGGCCTATTAAAAGTGCATGTGCTTATATCTAGAGCAATGCGCTTATGGCGGATCCTCAATTATAAGCGCACCCCTTAGAAAACCCTATTTTATTATAAGCGCATGCATAATTTTTTATTTAAAACCTGCTAAACACAGTAACGAATTTCAAAATTGAAGCGAGCCTGATTTCTTAATCGCTTCGTTTGACTCGCGAAGACCTCAGAAGCTGCGCGTCAGGTCAAGATGTGCTGGCATAGGGGCAAACTGACGTGTCTTTGCCCCTGTGTGTTGGAAAAAAATCGGTAGCACGCGATTCTGATTCCTGGCGCTATAAAATTTCGCCTTGATTGGAATGGTACGACTGAGATGCACATTTTGATGCTATAAAATTATATATCGGTATCTGTCATTATATACGCACATGCGCTTATAAAAATGACTCAATTAGAAGCGCACCATCCTAAAAAACATTGCTTTATTATAAGCGCAGGTGCGCTTCTATCCGGGGTAATACGGCAGCATTCGCACGCTTTACCATTTGCAATACACTATGTCAAAACTGTTATAGTGGGGTAGCCCATAAGGGGTACAACCCAATTAGGGTTAGTACTTGTACCCAACTTCTGTTCAATTCAATCATTCTCGTTCCATAGTTTGACATGGTTTCAGAGTAGGTCCTTCCCTAGCACTGGAATTATTTTTAGGGCCCACCACAGAGCTGCCCCACTAGCTGCCATGCAGCCCTGCCCTAACGGCCCGCCGCCCTGCTGGTCGCTGTGCCGCCCCTAGCAGCCCGCGAGCCGCCCCTGCAGCCAGCGCGCCGCCCCTGCAGCCAGCGCGCCGCCCCTGCAGCCTGCTCGCCGCCCCTGCAGCCCGCTCGCCGCTCGCTTGCGGCCCGCATGCTGCCCTTGCAGCCCGCTCGCCGCCCGCTTGCGGCCCGCTCGCCGCCCGCTTGCGGCCCGCTCGCCGCCCGCTTGCGGCCCGCTCGCCGCCCTTGCGGCCCGCTCGCCGCCCGCTTGCGGCCCGCTTGCCGCCCCTGCAGCCCGCTCGCCGCTTGCTTGTGGCCTGCTCGCCGCCCTTGCAGCCCGCTCGCCTCCCGCTCGCCGCTCGCCTGCGGCCCGCTCACCGCCCCTGCAGCCTGCTCGCCGCCCGCTTGCGGCCTGCTCGCCGCCCCTTGCAGCCCGCGAGCCACCCTCTTGCAGCCTGTGCGCCGCCCCTTGCAGCCCGCTCGCCGCCCCTTGCGGCCCGCTCTCCGCCCCTTGCAGTCCGCTCGCCGCCCCTTGCAGCCCGCTAGCCGCCCCTGGCAGCCCGCTCGCTGCCCTCTGGCAGCCCGCTCGCTGCCCCTTGCAGCCCGCTCGGCGCCCTCTTGCAGCCCACGCGCCTCCCTCTGGCAGCCCGCTCGCCGCCCTTTTTGCAGCTTGCCCGGCCCCCGCCCCCCCCCCCCCCCTTGCAGCCTGCGTGCCCGCCTTGCTGCTTGCGCCGCCCGGCTGCTGCCCGCCCTGCTGCTTGCGCCGCCCTGCTGGCCGCCCTAGCCGTGCGCCGCCCTGCCTTGCCCTGCGTGCTTCCCTAGTGGTCGCGCGCCACCCTGCTCTGCCCGCTATGGCTTATCTCAGTGTACTCACCTTCGATCATGAGGGCCGTCCGATCCAGTTCGTTACGTGGCTCGACGACTTACAATTGTACCTACTGAGCGATTCTAGAGACAGCGTTTCGTTGTTTGACCACACGTCTGGAGCCTCTCTCGCCCCTCCCGCCACAGCTGACAGTGCGAATCGCTCACAGTGGCTTACCCGTGATGCTGCTGCTCGCTTAGCCGTTCGCAACCACCTGCCGTTAGCCGAACGCGCTCACTTCGGACAGCACAAGACTGCTGAAGCACTTTACGACGCAGTAGTCGCCCGTTACTCCTCCCCTGCCACTGCTGCTCTATGCCGTCTTATACTGCCCTACCTATTTCCCAAGCTGTCCGCCTTTGCCACAGTAAACGAACTCGTTACCCACCTTTGCACTAGCGACGCTCGCTACCGCTCTGCCCTCCCAGCAGAGTTCCTTGACAGGAACCCGCCCCCGATGTACATCACTCACTACTTCATAGTCACCCGCCTCCTTGACTCTCTTCGCGCAGTCAGGGACCACTTTCTCGCACTTGACCCCACAGACCTCACTGTCAACCTGCTCGAGCAGCACCTCCTTGTAGCTGAGACTAGCATAGTCGCTGTAGGTGCCGCTCGTGGCACTCCTCGCACGCCCTTCTTTGAGGGGTGTTCCCTCTCCCCCCTTGCCCCCTCCTACGCCTCTGCTGCTGTTGTTGACATCCATGGTGCTGAGGATGTCGGGACTGCTTCTGCTATTAGTGGGAAGCACCGCAGCAGCAAGGGCAAGGGTGGCAGGAGTGGTGGCGGTGGTAGCGGGGGTGGTGGTGGGGGCGGCAGTGGAGGTGGTGGAGGTAGCGGAAGTGGTGGCAGCGGTGGGAGTGGTGGCGGGAGTGGGGGCTTTGGTGGCGGCGGTGGTGGCAGCGGTGGGGGTGGCGGTAGTGGCGGCAGTGGGAGTGGTGGCAGTGGTGTTGAAATGAGTAGCATAGTAGGAAGGAAGGAACTTAGGAGCCATGCTAGAGTTTGAGCTAGGCATGGACTATCGAGAGAGTTGAGAAGAAGGGTGGTTTCACTATAGAGAGTGAAGTACAAATAGGGTAGGAAAGGGGGGTACACCTCCAAGCAGGAAGTTAGGATAACTACACTAAGGCTAGAACTACATGCAGTTATAATATAATTCTGACAAGTGGGAGTGGTGGCAGTCGGGTTGGAGCTGTTCAGAGGGGAGGTTCTGGCGGTGGCCAGGGGCAGCAGCAGCAGCAGCGTCGAAGCGAGACCCCTTCTCCCCAGTAGCTTCGTGAGTGGTTTGCTCAGCGTGGGGCGTCTGGGGGTAGTGTTCGCTGTCCGTATGTCATTCGCACGGGTGACCGTGCTGGTCAGACATGCGGGAAGCCTCACTCTCAGCACCGCTGCTTCTCTCGCCTAGACGACGCTTGACGCGCAGAGTTTGGTGACGAGGCTGAGCGCCCCCGCTGGGCAGAGCTGCTTAGGTCTGGAGTTGATATCTTTGCTCTTGACTATGATGCTATCCTTGCTGCCATGTATGCTCCTGTCCTGCGTCTGCACTCTAACAGAGGTGGTGAGCTCTCCTCCGACCTCTTGCGGGACTTTTGTCGTGGGGAGGGCATCCTCCACTCCTTCACGCCTTCGGCCTCCCCGCAGCAAAATGGGATTGCTGAGAGCCGCATTGGCTTAGTCATGGAGGTGGCTCATACCTCCATGATCCATGCGGCTGCTCCCTATTTTATGTGGCCGTTTGCGGTCCGGTACGCTGCGCATCAGCTCAACCTTTGGCCCCGTGTCTCCTTGCCGGAGACCTCGCCTACCCTGCGTTGGACGGGGAAGGTTGGCGATGCGTCAGTGTTCCGGGTCTGGGGCTCTCGTGCCTTTGTTCGCGATACGTCCGCGGACAAGCTTTCCTCCCGCGCCTTTCCCTGCGTCTTCCTTGGCTTTCCCCCTGACGCGCCTGGCTGGCAGTTTTACCACCGCACCTCGTGCCGTGTCCTCCCCTCTCAGGACGTCACGTTTGACGAGTCGGTTCACTTTTACCGTCTCATCCCCTAACGCTCTGCCCCTCTCCCACCCCCGCCGCTCTTTCTTGCTCCAGGTCCCCCTCCGGTAGACCCCTCCCCCCTCAGGGTCCTGCTCCCTCAGGTGTGTCTCATGTAGACCCACTCCTTGGGACTGTGCCTGTCGAGGTCGCTGTAGACTCAGGTGCTGCGAGAGGTGCAGCATCTGGGGGTGCTGAGCCTGCGAGTGCGGAGCCTGGGGGTGCTGAGCCTGCAGGTGCAAAGCCTGGGGGTGCTGAGTCTGAGGGTGCGGGGTTTGGGGGTGCTGAGCCTGGGGGTGCGGAGCCTGGGGGTACTAAGCCTAAGGGTGCGGAGCCTGGGGTTGCTGAGTCTGAGGGTGCGGAGTCTGGGGGTGCTGAGCCTAGGGGTACTGCTTCTGCTGGAGGTCCTGCGGGTGCCTCGCCACGACTGTCTCCCCGGCCGGAGCCTCTCTCCCCGCAGCAGCTGCGCGAGTAGTTCTCTCAGCGCACACGCCTTCAGAGTGGAGCTGCCGGAGCTGGAGGCACTGGAGCTGGAGGTGCTAGAGCTACTGGTCTTGGAGGTGCTGGAGTTCGTGCTGGAGCTGGAGGTCCTGGAGGTGCTCGTACTAGGGGTACTGGAGCTGCCGGGGCTGTTGGTGTTGGGAGCGCTGGTGCAGGAGGAGCTGGAGCTGGAGACCCTGGTGCTGGAGGCGCTGGAGCTGGAGGCACTGGAGCTGGAGGCACTAGCGCTGGCGGCGTTGGAGCTGGAGGAGCTGGAGCTGGAGACCCTGGCGCTGGAGGTGGAGGCACTGGAGGTGGAGGCACTGGCGCTGGGGGCGCTGGAGCTGGAGGAGCTGGAGCTGGAGACCCTAGCGCTAGAGGCGCTGGAGCTAGAGGCACTAGCGCTGGGGGCGCTGGATCTGGAGGCGCTGGAGCTCTTGACCCTGGAGCTAGAGGTGTTGGCGCTGGGGGTGCTGCGTCTGGCGGTACTAGTGCTGGAGGCACTGTGCAGAGGCGCCCGTTTTTTGTTCCGCCGCCACCGTCGTCTCTCTGCCGCCACCTGACTCGGTCCTTCACCAGGTTCTTAGTCTCCCGTCTTCTACTGGCCTTCCTCCTAGCTTACTGAGTCCACCCGCCTCGCCAGTCGCAGCCACAGTTACAGCCAGAATCCCCACTGCCTGCTCCTTCTCCTTACGCTGAGCAGACAGACTCTTTTACAGAGCGTCGTGAGCCTGAGTCTCGTCCTGCCTCGCCTGTTCGCACTGTTCGCACTGATTGTCGGGCTCCTCGTCCGCGTCCTCCTCTTGTCCCCGGCACTCATGTTATGGCACTTCGTCCTTCCTCTGTTCCACCGCGAGTTCCTCTACCACCTCCTCCTGAGTCCTCTCTTCCTGCCATTCCTGACCCTGAGTCTGACCTAGCTCGTGCTGCCAGTCCCACTGTCTCTCGTCTTCTAGCCACTGTTGTCACTGACCCTTCGTTTGAGTCCACTACTGCGTCTGCCCTAGTTGCTGAGCTTGTTGACTTGCTGCCGCCTGTCGTCTCGACTACGCCACTAGTCTTGTTGCTGAGTGTGAGTCTGACTGTCCTCCGTCCGTCGGGGGGTGAGTGTGCTCTTGGCACGGACGTCCTTGAGGACAAGCAGGAGGATTTTGAGTGTCTTGCAGCTGCTGTACCTCATCTCGTGGCCATGCTGCTTTTACTTGAGGGAGACCCGGATGCACCAGACATCCCGACCCCGTGCTCTTACGCAGAGGCGATTACGGGTCCCTACTCCTCTCAGTGGCAGACAGACATGGACGCAAAGATGGCATCCTGGAAGTCCACAGGCACCTACGTCGATGCAGTTCCCTCTTCTGGGGCGAACATAGTCGATGGCATGTGGATTTTCAGGGTGAAGCAGCCGCCGGGTTCTCCGCCTGTCTTCAAGGCTCGTTACGTTGCACGAGGCTTCAGTCGGCGACAGGGAGTTGACTTCTTCCAGACCTTCTCCCCTACCCCAAAGATGACCACTCTTCGGGTACTGCTGCACGTCGCCGCTCAGCATGACTACGAGCTACACTCTCTTGACTTCAGCACAGCTTTCTTGCAGGGCAGCATGCACGAGGAGATCTGGCTGCGCCGCCCACCTGGCTTCACTGAGTCGTTTCCTGCAGGTACCCAGTGGAGCCTCCGACAGCTAGTCTACGGTCTCCGTCAGGCGCCTCGCGAGTGGCACGACACACTGAGGATGACACATGCGGCTCTTGGGTTTGCTCCTTCGACTGCTGACCCGTCGCTGTTTCTACGCACCTACACTTCGCTGCCGCCGTTCTACATCCTCGTGTACGTCGACGACTTGGTCTTTGCCACTGCTGACACTGAGGCATTGGCCCTTGTGAAGTCGGAGCTGCATAAGAGACACACCTGCACTAACCTGGGTGAGCTGTGCAGCTATCTTGGCTTGCAGATCACCCGGGACAGAGCACGGCGCACCATCACCCTGACTTAGTCACACATGGTGCACCAGGTCCTTCAGTGCTTCGGCTTCCTGTACTCCTCGCCACAGTCCACTCCTCTGCCTACCGGTCCACTCGCTCTCAGCTCCACCTTTGGACGAGTCCGTAGAGCCGAGTGGCCCATATCCAGGGTTTGTGGACTGCCTCATCTACCTGATGACCTGCAATCGACCTGACCTTGCCTACCCTCTCAGCATCCTCGCATGCTACGTTGCGCCCGGGAGACACCGACCAGAGCACTGGGAGGCCGCTAAGAGGGTGTTGCGCTACTTGTGCAGTACATCGGGCATGGGGCTCGTGCTTGGAGGACGGGGTCCAGTTGTCCTCACTGGACCACGCAGACGCTTCTTTGGGTTGACAACTTGGCTACGCAGCGGTCATCACATGGTTACACCTTCAGCCTTGGTTCCGGCTCTGTTTCTTGGCGGTCTACCCGCTCGTCTTCGGTTCTCAGTTCCAGTTGTGAGGCTGAGATCTACGCAGGGGCCATGGCTGCACAGGAGTTACGCTGGCTCACCTACCTGCTGACCGACTTGGGAGAGCGGCCTCGTTCTTCTCCAGTTCTGTACGTAGACAACAAGGCCAAGATTGCCTTGTGTCAGGAGCACAGACTGGAGCACAGAATGAAGCACATCGCTCTGCGGTACTTGCTCGAGAGTTGCAGCAGCGTGGTCAACTTCGTCTTGCTTACGTGGCCACTCGGGGCCAACACTGCTGATATATTCACCAAGGCACTTCAGTCTGGTGATCATCAGCGTTTCTCTACTGTTTTAGGCCTTGTGCCTACTTTGCCTCACTTGCTCACCTGCGTGAATCTGTTGTACTGTGATCTATATATATTACAGCAATGCTTACTCTTGCTAGGCTTTGATCACTGTACTGTCGCTGACCCGTCGCTGTTTCTACGCACCAACACTTCGCTGCGCCGTTCTACGTCCTCGTGTACGTCGGCGACTTGGTCTTTGCCACTACTGACATTGAGGCATTGGCCCTTGTGAAGTCGGAGCTGCAGAAGAGACACACCTGCACATGACCTGGGTGAGCTGCGCAGCTATCTTGGCTTGCAGATCACCCGGGACAGAAACACGGCGCACCATCACCCTGACCTCAGTCACACATGGTGCACCAGGTCCTTCAGCGCTTCAGCTTCCGGTACTCCCTCGCCACAGGTCCACGTCCTCTGCCTACCGGTCACTCGCTCTCAGCTCCACCTTTGGGACGAGTCCGTAGAGCCAAGTGGCCCGTATCTAGAGCTTGTGGACTGCCTCATCTACCTGATGACCTGCACTCCGACCTGACCTTGGCCTACCCTCTTAGCATCCTGGCATGCTACGTTGCGCCCGGGAGACACCGACCAGAGCACTGGGAGGCCGCTAAGAGGGTGTTGCGCTACTTGTGCAGTACATCGTGCATGGGGCTCGTGCTTGGAGGACGGGTTCCAGTTGTCCTCACT